GTTAAACAATAAAGAAAAAACATAGTGCGGTGTGAGTGCTCCCCAACTTATTCCTCTGGTTCTTAACTGTGTTCCAAACTTAGGATAATGCTGGTTACCTGGCCAAATCTTATTTTCCAAGCCTGTAACTTGCTTTAGGCCTTCAGGAAATATTCAACTATCAAGCTGCGAATAAGTACTGACCTCCACAGTTCGGGCCTACATGAAATTAGCATAAGCCTAGAGGAGAAATTAACTATCTCCTTATGTTCCCCCCACACCCCAGAAAAGGCCCAGAAAACAAATATAATTTTTCCTTTTATATCATTTTTGTTTAGTAACCGTGTGACTGCTGTGGATGGGAGGGCTGTATGTGCCAGAGTGTGTGCTGTGAATAAACCCTCTTGGACTGTGGAATTTTATCGCCCCATATTATCAGTTACCTTAGATGGTACACCTGTAAGGTTGAAATCTGGAGACCAGGCTCTGGTGCTGCTGCTTTTAGGATCAAACTGGAGAGTTTCAGAACTGGTTCTCTAGGCCTGGATTGACTTAAGCATAAACTTGTTCTGTATAGATGTTTGTCATGCTTATTAAACTGTAAGTCATACATATGACCAAAATCAAGGCCCATGTCTGATAAACTTAACAGCATTAATGAAGGGAGACAAAATATTTGAGAATTCCTGAAACAGCTAGTATGCTTACTGGCCGTAATTGTAGTTATAGAGAAAACTGAGCTAGAAGTGTTTTCTTCCTCCAGGGAACATTGCTGCTGTTCCTTGGCTCGTGTCACTGAGACCTGACACAGACCCACAGCACACAGTGTCTTAGGATTTCTTCAGCTTGTGACCAGGTGTCTCCAATTCTATTTCATAGGAGCTGAAACTGAAAACTTCATTTTTTACCTCAACATCTGCTCCATCCTGCTTTTTCACGATTATTATAGCAGTGTAAAAAGTTTTCAGTGGTTTCATAGCTAAGGCACCAAAAGCACAAGTAACAAAAGAAAAAACAGATAAAATTAACTTGAACAAAATTTAAAACTTTGTGTTGCAAAGACCACCACCAAGAAAGGGAAAACCCACAACCCATAGAATGGGAGCAAATATTTGCAAATCATATATTTGATAAGGGACTTGTATCTAGAATAAAGAACTTCTGCATCTCAATAATAAAAAGACAAGTAGATCAACTCCAAAAAAATGGACAAAATCTCTGAATAGAAATTTCTCCAAAGAAGATAGAACAGCCAAAAGCACATGAAAAGATGTTCAACACCATTAATCATTACAGAAAGGCAAATCAAAACCAATGTCAGATACCCACTTCACACCCACTAGGATGACTATAATCAAAAAGGCAGACAACAACAAGGATGTGGAGAAATTAGAGTCCCTATACACTTCTGACTAAAATGTAAAATGATGCCAACACTTTGTAAAAACAGTCTGGCAGTTTCTCAGATGGTTAAAGATAGAGTTAACATTTGCCCCGTAATTTCATCCAAGAGAACTGAAAACAGAAGTCTACACAAAAACATTTACAGAAATGCTCATAGCAGCATTATTCTTTTTAATTATTTATGTACGTATGTATGTATGTATGTATGTATGTGTGTATGTTTTGGCTGTGTTGGGTCTTCGTTGCTGCACGCGGGCTTTCTCTAGTTGCGGCGAGCGGGGGCTACTCTTTATTTGCTGTGTGAGGGCTTCTCATTGTGGTGGCTTCTCTTGTTACGGAGCACGGGCTCTAGGCACGCGGGCTGCAGTAGTTGTGGCATGCGGGCTCAGGCTCGTGGGCTCTAGCGTGCAGGCTCAGTAGTTGTGGCACACAGGCTTAGTTGCTCCGCGGCATGTGGGATCTTCCCGGACCAGGGTTTGAACCCGTGTCCTCTGCACTGGCAGGCGGATTCTTAACCACTGCGCCACCAGGGAAGTCCCAGCAGCATTATTCTTAATAGCCAAAAAGCAGAAACAACCTAAAAGTTCTATCAGCTGATGAATGGATCAACAACATATGGAATAGCCATTCAATGGGATGTTATTCAGCAATAAAAAAGAGTTAAGTACTGAAACATGCTACAACACAGATGAACCTTGAAAACATTAGGCTAAGTAAAGGACCATGCATTGTATGATTCCATTTATATGAAATGTCCAAAAAAGGAAAATCTATAGAGACAGAACATAGATTAGTGGTTGGGCTGGGAAGAGGCAGAAGTGGAGTGACTGCTACTGGGCATGGGGTTTCTTGTTTGGGTGTTGAAAATGTTCTCAAATTCTGGTGATGGTTGCACAACTCTGTGAATATACTAAAATCCATTGAATTGTACACTTTAAATAGGTAAATTCTGTGGTGTGTGAATTTTATTTCTAATAAAGCTACTTTAAAAAAAAAAACTCTTCCAAGGAGATGATCTTGGATACAAATTAGGGCCAGATCAAGAAGACATGAACCATTACTATTTTTTAATATCTTTTTTAAAAACCAATGTCCTAAACTACCTGAAATCCTCAATTTTACCCTTTGAGTTTTCTGCATAGTTATCATTATGTGATTGTGAAAATCAATCAGGGAAGCACTAGGAAAATGCTAGATTTATCTTTCAAGGTTAACAATAATTTGGAAACCTCAGGAATCTCATCTTTTAGTTCTGAACAATTTATTTTGAAGGGTGGGTTGCAATTATTCTTTTAACTCCTGGGTGAAAAATATGTCATTACAGGTAATCTATTTTGATTTTACCAAGTGAAGAGCAGTAATTTGGGGACCCAATAGAGTTCTAAAATTTCATCACAGAGAGTAGCTCATAAAGGATTATGTAGGCTTTGCTTTTGTTGAGTGTTGGCCTTTGCTGATTACTTATTTATATAACTGAGTTTTTATAGGCACACTGGAGCTCTGAAAAGTGGGACTCATTGCTTTTTGGTGCCAAAGACCTGTGATTTGGATGTGTGGGTCCGTCCCACAGTACCCTCTTCATATTTTGAGGAAGACAGAGAACCACCTAAGGGACAGGTCCTAGGTCTAAGGTCCTGATTGACGGATCGCCACTAGAAATTGTGTTCTCCAAACGTATGGACACCAAGGCGGGGGAAGCCGTGGGGGTGTGTGTGAACTGGTCGATTGAGATTGACATGTATTCGCTGATGTGTCGAAAACTGATGAATAAGAACCTGCTGTATAAAAAAATAAAATAAAATTCAAAATCTCAAAAAAAAAGAAAGAAACTGTGTTCTCAAAGTAGGGTTAAAATGATCCAAGGGGCAGGTTCGGCAGTTTTTCTGCTAAGCCACAGCAGCAACGCTCCAACGGCGGCGTCTCTCACCTTCTTCGGAGCTTGAAGGCCGCCCTCCCTCCCTGCGCACATGGCGAGGTGGGGACAGAGAGCCATGTGCGACCAACGTGAGCCACTTACTGCTGCACGCTGTTTAAATTCCAGGTATTGGAAATGAATTTTCAGCTGCAAGATACCGCGGGGCAGACCAGAAGGACTACCAATCAGTGGTTTAGAAATAAAACCACAACGAACTGAAACGAGAGTCTTCGCCTCCTCTTCCGACACACACTTCCCTTTTCCTCCCTCACTCCGCCTCCTTCACCTTGGCTTACTCTCTGCCCACCAGCTCCGCCCCGTCCCGCGACCCGGCGGAGTCTAAGAGGCGGACCAGCCCAGGGAAGAGTGAATCCATCCTGGTGCTTCGTTTGGGAGGGCATAAGGGCGTGGCTTTTTGACGACAGAGCGGGAGGGGCGAGGGGCCAACTCTGGAGCCCGGGACCTCCCGACAGAGGGGGCGGAGGGAGAATGGGTCGGCCCTTTCCACGCCCTATGGAAACTCCATACTGGACAAGAGGGGAGTGTCTATCCTCAAACTTCCCTTTGAGACGGGAATGTTAACTAAGAAGCTTAAGCTCAAAGTGTCACCCTTTTAAAAGCTTGCTCACACCCTCTGCTCCAGCTCTTCTTTCCTCCCTCCTTTGACAACCACGTAAACCTTCCCCCCCCCTTCCAGTTTTTTCTCCCTCTTCGCTTCTGCGCGGATGGTGGCGGCCGGCGGGGTGCGCAGCCGCAGAGAGTTCGGGGCGGTGCCGGTGAGGGGCGGGTGACGCAGCGGCCGTCGCTGCCATTTTAAGTTGTTTGTTCTTGCTTCTCTTCTCAAACGCGACTCTGCCCCGGATCCGGGAGGCGCCGAGGTCGCCGCCGCCGCTGCCGCTTCCGCAGCCACCGGTGGGGGGGGAACCGAGCTGTGCCACCGCGGAAGCCCACCCTCCGCTTCAGCATCTCTCCCCTCCTGGTCTCCTCGACCTTCTTTCCGAGAGCCGGAACTCGACCCGTGCGGAGAAGAAAGACTCCAGAGCAGATGCTTGAACTGAAATAACTTTATTTTGGGGGGTTTACTTCGCTGACAGAACCCCCCCCCTTAGCGCAGGGCTCCCCTCCCCTTCCTCCCTTCCCCCTCCGCCGCCAGTACAAATCCGACTCCCCTCTTCCTCCTCGTTTCTCCTTCTCCTCTCTTTCTCTCGCCGTCGCCGCCGTACCCGCGTCCTTCCAGTCCGCCGCCGCCCGGGGCGCCGAGCCAGACTATGGGTCCCAGGTGGGGGCTGAGCGGCGGCAGCAGCGCGGGCGGCCCGGTCACAGTGCGCAGTGCAGCGGGGATGGAGGGGCTCAGTTGGCTGGTGGTTTTCTCTTGACATGGCTCCTGCCCGTGCTGCGAGCAGCGCCCCCGCCGCCGCCTCCTCTTCCGCCGCCGCCACCGCTCCGCCCGCGGGCTGCGGCTAGAGGGCCCGAACCCCACCCGAGAGTCGGTCAGTGAGTCCCGGTCTCTGTGGGGACAGGGAGGGGACTTCCCCGTCACCCACCCCCGCCCCAGCTGCCTCGAGTCCACCCTCTACCCCTTTGGGAAACCAACTAACGACCCCGCCCTAAGCAATTCAAACTCGGGAAACATGGTCTGTTCAACGTGAGAGCGGAATCCGGGAACTTAATTTTTTTTTCTTAGGGGGGGGGTGGGGTGGGCATACTTTAAAAAATAATTAATATTAACGCAACTATTTTCTTTTCTTCCCACTGATCCTTCCCATTTACCCTCTCCCGCCTCCTCTACCCGGGCGGGGATTGTTTCCACGATGAAATGAGTGAAAACCCGAGTGATCCAGTGTCTCCCGTGGTGCGAGTGAGTCGCTGCCGCTGAAGGCAAAGGGTGGGGGTGGGACCTGGGGGGTGGAAGGCCGGTGGTCCCCAGGCACTGCCTGGTATTTGGGAGAAGAGCCCGCCACCTTTGCCTCAGCAATGCTCACAAGAAGATAAGTCGCACTCCCCACGGTCTTGCACGGGGGCAGATTCATAGGGAAGGCTCCCTTGGGGAATGTAGGACTCATTGCAGGACTTGGGGTGTTGGGATCCCGGGCATTAATCAGGTCTAACCACAGAGCTGAAGTCATTATTGTATCGTATTCTGTACCCCCTTTCCCTGTGCCATCATGATTCTCCTTGGCAGCAGCATTAGCAGCCGCCTGAGGGTGAAAATGTGGGTGATGGGGAAGTTGGTAATGACTCCGCTGTTTTTTCTTATGGCTCCTTTGGGCAACAGCTGCCCGCCCCCGGTATACACTGTAGTTGATTGCAGGGAAACCCTGTACCTCTCCCCTTCCTTCTCAACCGATTTTGCACTTTTCTCTTTGCTCACCACCAAGTGTAATCAATAACACGCACTGACAATATATAGCAATAGTGAAATCTGAAATAACTAAGAATTAATTAGGTACTACAGCCATGGATCTGGCTGGGTAAAATCCAATTGGGTATTTCAGTTTCATTCACCTACCCTGTTTTGGGGGGTTATTTTGGTGGCTTTTTTTTCCCCTTTCCTTTTTTTTTTTTTTGACATTCAGAAAGCAAGGATCACAGTCCCCCTCCCCATTCCTTTTCATTATCCCTTCTCTGAAAAGAGGGAAAAAATCCGGATGGATTTTAAGGGTTGGACTGATGTCAGCTGTGTTTTATTGCACACCTAAATCCTATTAATAGGTTTTTCAGTTCCCCCACCTTTATTTTGGCAGTTAAGCCAAATGTGTTTTCCAAAAAGTTAGTTCAAGTATTTTCTCCTCTTTCTTTCCTTCCTTCCCTTCCTTTTTCCCATCTGACCCCAAACGTTATTGTCCAAACATGACTGGACAGCAGCTTTTGTTTCTTGACCCTGTAATATGACAGTCTGCTAATATTGCCAGAAGGTGCAGTTTTTGGGTTACAGTCGTGATTTTAGCTATTCAATCATATTAGCAGGAAAAAAATGACTTGTTTCTGTTGTACTTGAGTCTTAAGAAAAAGTGCCCATAGTTTAGTGACAATTTCCAAAGGCTTTAGTACCACCTGTATTTCAAAATGGGGGACCCAAACTCCCGGAAGAAACAAGCTCTGAACAGACTACGTGCTCAGCTTAGAAAGAAAAAAGAATCTCTAGCTGACCAGTTTGACTTCAAGATGTATATTGCCTTTGTATTCAAGGAGAAGGTAATTTAAAGTTCTTAATGTGAATTAGCACAAGTGATTTTTGTAAGTGTATATTAGGTTAAAGAGTCTACATTTGTGTGCTTTAACTTTGACCCTTGTGGGTAATTATCTCAATCAAAGGAGTTGCGGTATAACTATGAATGGAAGGCTTGAGTGCTCTTGGTTTGGTATTACTTAATTCTAAAGCTTCTTAGGATCCACTTTTAGTTAACATGGGGTGGGTAGCATTGTAAAACCCATTTATGTTTTACAATGAATTTCATTTATGTGGAGTTACATAGAGAACTTGATAACTGAATTTAAAGATTGTTTAAAGTATACAGAATGTTTGAAAGTAGTAAATTAGAATCAAAATGTTTATATGCTGAAAGCGATCTGGTTCATCAACTCGTTACCTTTTCTCATGGTACATTTAACGAAATAGAATGCACTTTAATTCTTAGGAGCAATTGATTACTGTAAAGGTTTAATTTGTGTTTAGAAGTGCAGTTGATTAAAATTCAGAATGACCAAAAGAATTTAAAATTTTTTTTGTCTTAATCAGAATTAATTCCACAGTTAAATAGCAAATAATGAGTTGTGAGGAGAACATGATAAAAGCAGTATTTTTTTGCAACTTAAAATAATGGACAGTTTCTTAGATAATCGATCTCTCTTTGACATGAGGTCAGGTTATGAATATTAAGGAAATGCTACTTTGATTTTGTGCTTAAATTATGAGCTAATTTCACATCAGAAACATCGTCTTAGCATGGTATCCCTTTAATTTTCCCACGTTTTTACCCCACTATTAAAGATACTAGTATTCAGTATTTAAGAATGCTCTTAGCTGCTAGAGTATAGCATTTTAAAGTGCTTTTAAAAGTGGTTTGTTTTGGGCTTCCCTGGTGGCGCAGTGGTTGAGAGTCCGCCTGCCGATGCAGGGGATACGGGTTCGTGCCCCGGTCTGGGAGGATCCCACGTGCTGTGGAGCGGCTGGGCCCGTGAGCCATGGCCGTTGAGCCTGCTCGTCCGGAGCCTGTGCTCCACAATGGGAGAGGCCACAACAGTGAGAGGCCCACATACGG